TTCCTGCCCCAGACAGAGTGTTCCATAGCCACTGATAAAACAGTCTTAAACTGGCACTGAAAATGCAAGAGTTGGCATCTGCAGAGCAGCTGGGGGAGGGGGACAGCGGAGAATTTTTCTCCTTTTAATGGGCAGTCACCTTATTTCTCAGAGGTGGGGATGAAGAGTGGAGCCTTGGGCAATGTCTTCATCCATAACAAATGTAACCCTCCACCCAAACCAAGTGACCTCTGAACAAAATATGTTCCCCATTCGCAAACATTCCCCCTTGCTAGGCTTTGGAAGGAGCAGAGACGTAGTCTTCTCCATCACAGAAGTACACTGACAACCCCCGAGAGGAGTTATTGACATTTTCTACCGCTCCTCTGGGGGCAATAAAAATGCGAGGAGATGCAAAGCAAGGAGAATGAGATCTTTTTCTTGGGAAGACAGTGGTGAAATCAGGCTTACAAGTTTTGTCATGTCGAAAAACTAAAAATCGGCAGGCTGCCTAATCCGCCTCCATGCAAAATATACGTACATGATAAAAAGACTAATGAACTCTCTCTCTCTCTTATTTTTTAGACCACTGATTTAAGAAAAGGATAAACCCTAGTGGCATAATGTAATGATCAGTTAATCCGGTAGTCAGATTTCAGTATTGTTCAACCAGACAAGGTCTACTTCTCAGGGAAATATTATCTTGTCAAATATCATATGGCTCATAGTATAGTGTACCTGTTGAGGGTGAGAGATTAGCAGATTTCTCACCCCAGATATCTGCCCTGCTCTCTCCCTTGGCTGAAATTACTCACTCCTGCCACCAAGTGGATGCTTTGGCTCATGTCTCTGTGTTACGTATGGTCAAGATGCTTATGACTTGTGGCAACCCTATGAATTGTTGTTGTTGTTGTTCATTCGCACTGTCACACAGTCGAGTCCGATTCTTCGCGACCCCATGGACCAGATCAAGCCAGGCCCTCCTGTCTTCCGCCGTCCTCTGAAGTTTGCTCAACTTCATGTTCGTTGCATCTATGACACTGCCTAACCATGATAAAAAGTAGAGACATCACCCTGCCAACAAAAGTCCGCATGGTCAAAGCAATGGTATCCCCAGTAGTAATGTATGGCTGCGAGAGTTGGACTATAAGGAAGGCCGAGCGCCGAAGAATAGATTCTTTTGAACTATGGTGCTGGAGAAGACTCTTGAGAGTCCCTTGGACTGCAAGAAGATCCAATCAGTCAATCCTAAAAGAAATCAACCCTGACTGTTCCCTGGAAGGCCAGATAATGAAACTGAAGCTCAAATACTTTGGCCACCAAATGAGAAGGGAGCACTCACTGGAGAAGACCCTGATGCTTGGAAAGATTGAAGGTCAAAGAAGACGGGGACGGCAAAGGATGAGATGGTTCGACAGTGTCAAATATGCAACGAACATGAAATTGAGCCAACTTCAGATGACGGCGGAAGACAGGAAGGCCTGGCGGGAGCTGGTCCATGGGGTCACTGAAGAGTCGGACTCGACTGTGCGACTGAACAACAACAAACAGAAAAAAACAACATGACATTGTACAAGAAACATAAGCATAATATGATACAGCTAGCATCATGGGATGCTGACCAAAGAAAATAAAATTTAACCCCAGAGAGAACAGCAGAAATAGGGAATACCATCTTGAAGGGATGCTGGAGATGTAACAGTAAACAGTAAATATAGTTTATTTCTTCATCTTTGGGGTTCCTGTCTGGTAGTAAAGGGACTCTCAAGAGTCTTCTCCAGCACCATAGTTCAAAAGCATCTATTCTTCGGTGCTTGGCCTTCCTATGAATGAGTGAATTAATTAATTCCCTATGAATTAATGACCTCCTAAATATCCTATCATTAACAGACTTGCCCAGGTCTTGAAAACTGAGGGCCACGGCTTTCTTGACTGAGTCAATCCACCTCATGTTCAGTCTTCCTCCGTTCCTGCTGCCTTCAGCTTTCCCCAGCATTATTATCTTTTCCAATGAGACTTGTTTTCTCATTATGTGACCAAAGTACGATAGTCTCAGTTTAGTCATTTTATCTACTAGGGAGAATTGAGGCTTGATTTGATCTAAAACCCACTTGTTTGTCTTTTTGGTAGACCACAATATCCTTAAAATTCTCCTTCAACACCACTTTTCAGATAGATCAACGTTCTTCCTGCCAGCTTTCTTCACTAACTTACATGTCCGTACTTAGTAATGAGCAGGGCTATTTTGGGACAGGAACACACAGGAACGGAGTTCCGGCTGGCTCCCGAGTTGGCCACGCCCAGCAGGAACTCGTTAGCATAATAGGCCACACCCAAGAGCAGGAACTCATTAGGATTGGCTACATTAGGGGTGTGTGGCCTAACATGCAAAGGAGTTCCCGCTACAAAAAAGGCCCTGGGTTTTGACAACAAACAAGGTAAACAGAATAAGAAGCAAAAGGTGGGTGTGACTGGATGACCACCCTTCTGGTATGGGGGTGCGGCCTAATATGCCAATGAGCTGTGCCGTCAGGGGTGTGGCCTAATATGCTAATGAGTTCCTGCTCTTGGGTGTGGCCTATTATGCTAATTAGTTCCTACTGGACTTTTTCTACAAAGAAAGCCCTGGATGAGGAATACTATAGTATGTATTATCTTGATCCTGGTTTCCAGGAACACTTTCTTACACTTGATTGTTTCTAGGTCCTTCATGGCTGCACCAAGTCTCTGTCTCCTGGTTTCTTGGTTGCAGTGTCCCTTTTGGTTGATGACTGAGCCGAGAAATAGAAACTCTAACAAATTTCAGTTTCTTCACTGTCAACCTTGAAGTTGTGTGATTCCTCCACAGTCATTACTCTTGTCTTCTTGATATTCAGCTGTAATCTTCCCTTGGCACCTTCTCCTTCAACTTTCATCAGTAGTTGTTTCAAGGCTTTACTATTTTCCGTCCGTCGTGGGGTGTCATCCGGCTATCTCAAATCGTTAATGTTCTGTCCCCAATTTTTACTCCACCTTCGTCTAAACTTAATCCAGCTTTCCATATGACAAAGTCTGGCTGCCTCCACATGGGAATTTCCCCACAATGTTAGATAAAACTACCCAATCTGGACTTAATTGACTCTACACCTTGTGCGTCATCTTAAATTTATCTCCAAAATTGTTAACGCGAACGACTACCAAGTAATTCCTTTGCTCTCGCCCTACAAGGTGGTGTCAGAGAGATAGAAGGGAAATTGCTGGCCTTTGTCATTCCGACAGAGAGACGCCATTTGGTACAATCTAATACAAATGGCACCACTTAATATCTGCTTGCCTGCCAGCATTAAGCACAGGTACGCTGGTGAGAAGAGACCTTAAAACCATGGCCTGAAACTAGGGTTACCAGCCTAGCAACCACAAATATCAGGAGCTTTTGAGGAGAAGGACCCTTGGGGGGAAAAAACAGTGAAAACACAGAAGTGATGTCACAGCCCCCCCCCCATGAATCTAGGAACTCCCCAGATCTCTATGGTAAAGTTGGAATTCCTAGAATGGAATTCCATTCTATGGACTCTATGGAATTCCTAGAATGTTGTGGGGTGGCTGTGATGTCACTTCTAGATTTTTTACAGCAGAAGTGACATCACACTACGTTCCCCACCCCAATTTTCTTCCCACGGCCGGGGGGGGGTGCAGTGGGTGAGCAGCAACAAAAGCGGGGGAATTCCCACCAGTAGTGGGCGAGTGACAACCTTATGTTTGTATTTTGTAACATCCCGCCTGATGAAGAGTTCTGGTGAACTCAGAAATTAGCACACAGTTTTGTGTCGTTTTGATTGGCCCTGATAAAAAGGCATTGCACGGATTGTACTTTGACTCCAGCAAAGGGAACTTGCAAAAAGAAGTTGCAAAAACCAATGTTACACATACAACTTCAAGAAGGGGGGATCCCCCCCCCCAGGCCAAGTGTAGAGAGAGCTACAAGAACAAAATCACAGCAGATCAACACAATCCAGCTATCGTGCCTAGACTTGTGCATAACGATCCGGACCCTCCAAGTTCAAGGTAGCTCTTCCAGTGTTCCCTCTAAGCTGTGCTCCTGAACGGCCACTCATTAACACAGGAAGCCCCGCTCAGCAGCAGTCTGGAGCCACACAGGGTCTTGCACAGCCCACTGCCCATTTTAAGATCACAGCAGTTCTATTCTGCTCAGGATTTGCACTGCTCCACTCAGTAGGGGGGGAAATTAGAGGGCACATTGGCTCTTACAGTACTGAAGCACCTGCAAGCTTTTCCCAGTTTGGCCTGGAGCAAGCTGGTCTCCCTTTCAGCACCATCATGTTTCATTCAGCCTCCTCTGAAACGGCTGTCTTTCAGTCACTCATGTTTGCATTAGCCAGTTTGGTGTAGTGGTTAAGTGTGCGGACTCTAATCTGGGAGAACCGGGTTTGGTTCCCCACTCCTCCACTTGCACCTGCTGATGTGACCTTGGGTCAGTCACAAGCTCTGGCACAGTTGTCCTTGAAAAAGGGCAGTTTCTGTCAAGAGCTCTCTTAGCCCCACCCACCTCACAGGGTGTCTGTTGTGGGGAGGGGAAGGGAAAGGAGTTTGTAAGCCGCTCTGAGACTCCGAGTGAAGGGCAGGGTATAAATCCAATCTCTTCTTTTTCTTCTTCATTTGTTTCTCTACCTCTTACCAGTAAGTACAGCCTTCCTTAGCTTCCGGAACGTTCCCACCAAACCCAGCAGAGAGCTTCTGCCCAATATCAGGACCAAACAAGAAGGTGAAGATCATGGGCATCATGGTCTGTCTACAAAATACAAAGTGCAGCCTCAATTTGCCTTGGAGCAATGCAAAGAGGGAACGGTGGTTTAACCCTTCATTCTCCACTCAGTTTTGCTAATTTCTATTGGATCTCCTGCTTTGCTGTTAACATTTTAAAGGGGGGAGAGACATGCTCATGAAAACATAAGTACTGAAAGCACTAGGTTGCAATAAGAGTAAAAATATATATATACACAACTATTTTAGACGTGGTGGACAGATGTATGCACAGATGTGGCTTTACACCCCCTCTCTTCCTCAGGTTATTATCTAGTTTGGCTCTTAGGTGGTTTTAAGCAGTGATTAGTGTAAAAAACTAAGATCATGGCATCCGGCCCCATCACTCCTTGGCAAATAGAAGGGGAAGTCGTGGAAGTAGTGACAGACTTCACGTTCCTGGGATCCCAGATCACCGCAGACTGTGACAGCAGCCATGAAATTAAAAGACGCCTGCTCCTTGGGAGGAAAGCGATGGCGAACCTCAACAGCATGATAAAAAGTAGAGACATCACCCTGCCAACAAAAGTCCGCATGGTCAAAGCAATGGTATTCCCAGTAGTCATGTATGGCTGCGAGAGTTGGACTATAAGGAAGGCCAAGCGCCGAAGAATAGATTCTTTTGAACTATGGTGCTGGAGAAGACTCTTGAGAGTCCCTTGGACTGCAAGAAGAACAAATCAGTCAATCCTCAAAGAAATCAACCCTGGAAGGCCAGATAATGAAACTGAAGCTAAAATACTTTGGCCACCAAATGAGAAGGGAGCACTCACTGGAGAAGACCCTGATGCTGGGAAAGATTGAAGGTCAAAGAAGACGGGGACGGCAAAGGATGAGATGGTTAGACAGTGTCATCGATGCAACGAACATGAAGTTGAGCAAACTTCAGAGGATGGCGGAAGACCGGAAGGCCTGGAGGGAGCTGGTCCATGGGGTCGCAAAGAGTCGGACTCGACTGTGCGACTGAACAACAACAAAAAGTGTCATTCATGGAGGGTTGACTGGGAAACAGTTATTAGCAGTGATGTTCGAGCAGATCGTCCATATTCAGAGATGACAGAGCTCTGAATTCCAGGTAGAGCAGGGAGAGAGGAAGATTGTTATTCTCATGCCCTATCTGGGAGCTTCTAGTAAGTACTTGATCGGTCACTGTTGCAAAAAGGGCACTGGAGATTAACCCTTGGTCTAATCCAGCAGAGTAGTTAGTTGCTGGAAAATGGGATTAAATAGATTCATGGAGCATAGATCAAGATGGGTAGCCATGTGAGTCTGTCTGTGGCAGTAGAAAAGAGCCAGCGTCCAGTAGCACCTTAAAGACTAACAACATTTGTGGCAGGGGAGGAGCTTTCGTGAGTCACTGCTCACTCCTTCAGATAGGCCATAATGTTTGCATTAGCAAAGAAGGCCCCGATTTTTTCCTTTTTACCTACTTACCTACCTACACTTGAAAGAAGATTGGGTGCAGGAAGCGCTAAAGCACCTCTTTACAGGCTTAGTTGAGGGTTGTGGCTCAGTGGTAAAGCATCTGCTTGGCATGTAGAAGGTCCCAGGTTCAATCTCCAACATCCCCAGTTAGATCAGATTGTAGGCAGGGGTCATTTCGTAGAAAAAGAGGTGCAGGAGCTCATTACCATAACTTATTTGCATATGCCACACCCCCTGACATCATCCGAAGTGTGTCAGAAGGCAACACCCACCGCTCAGGCTCCACTGGACTGTTTTGGATTGCTAGCTATTGGGGGGGAATGTGCAGATCTGTCATCACAGAAGAGGGTGAGCTTGTACCGGAAGGTGGGCTGGGGGGGCGGCTCTGCAACTTACCTGGCTGCTTCTTGCTCCTCATGGCCCAACTGAGGGCTGCTGGGAGCAGGGGGCGGGGCTTGTTGCATTTGCCCGCCCCCTGGGCTCCTTACTGCCGGAGCTCCGCTCTTGTGTGCTCCTGCAGGAAATGACCCCTGATTGTAGGTGATGTGAATGACCTTGGAGAGCCACTGCTAGTTGAATAGACAATACTGGTCTTGATGGACCAATGGTCTGACTCACTATAAGGCAGCTTCATGTATTCACGGGTGTGTTTAAGAGTCTGTAGCTCAGTGGTAGAGCACCTGCTTGGCGTGCAGAAGGTCCACATTCCGATTCCCAGCATCTCTGGTTAAAGGGATCAGGTAGGAGATGACATGAATGACCTCTGCCTGAGACTCTGGAGAGCCACTGAGTTTGAGTAACTAGGGATGCCAGCCTCCAGGTGGGACCTGGGGATTCCCCCAGAATTACAGCTCATCTCCAGACTACAGAGATCAGTACTCCTGGAGAAAATGGATGCTTTGGAGGGTGGACTCTATGGCATTGTCCCCCACTGAGGTCCCTGTCCACCCTGGGCTCCGTCCCCAAATCTCCAGGTGTTTCCCAACCAGGATCTGTCAAGCCTATCCCCCATCCCTGCCAGTGGCCAGGGGGAACCGGGGGACCCTATAGACACTACTGACATTGGTGGCCCAATGGTCTGTTTCAGTATAAGGCAGGTTTGTGTTTCCATAATAGAAGGAGATCTGCAGGAAGGGTTAAAATGTAATATTGCAGTGATAATCTTTTGCTGTGGAGTTGGGGGGGTTGAGTAGGGTGTCAAATGCCCTACCACCACCAAATACCCCCCTCCCATTTCTGTGGTTTTGCAAACTTTGCAGGCCACTGTTGGAATCAGAACGCCAGACTAGATATTCTCATCCAGCAGGGCTCTTCTCATATTCTTTCTATTTTGGATTTTTTTTACAGACCTGCGGGGAAGGGCCTTTATTTTCCCCCAAGACGGCGTCGAGGCCCACGTCACATTGAAGGCTGCCCAAGAAGAGCCCCTCCGAAACTTTACCATATGCCTGAGATCTTTCACCAACTTGATCCAGGATTGCCCCCTTTTCTCTTATGCCTCCAAAGACCAGTACAGAGACATCTTAATTTATAAGACATATCGGAATGGGTATCCAGAGTACAATGTCTGGATCGGGGGAGAAGAGGTGGACTTCAGAGTTCCAGATTCCTTTCTGGGGTGGAAGTCCAGCTGCATCACCTGGGAGTCAGAGATGGGGGTGATCACCCTTGGGATTGGTAATTTTGTCTTGGCACGAAGAGTTGTGCAAAAGGGCCATTGCATCGGACCCCCTGCTGTGATTATGTTGGGGGAAGTTGTCTGGCAAACTGCTGATGAAGTCGACTTCAGTGGGGAGATTAAAGACGTGTACATGTGGAATGCCACAATCCCAATGAGGGATCTGAGAAGGACCTCCTGGGACTCCCTGTCTCCGTCTCCCATCATCAACTGGAGAAACCTGCAGTATGAGATTAAAGGCAACGTGACTCTTGTCTGACGCTGAGCAGAAACAACGGCCTTGGTTTCCACCTCCTCTGCTACATGTATTCAGATCCACTGCTGGGTGATGTGGCTTCCCCCTGTCCGGCACTGTAAAGACCTGCCCCATTTCCTTGACTGTTTCCCATTTTCCTGCTG